TTAGATCGCACAGATTTTAATAGGTGTTATGATATTTGCCCTTCTCTGACTTCACTCAGTATGACAGTCTCTAGGTCCATTCATGTTGCTTTAAGTGGCATTATTTCATTTTTTTATGACTAACAGTCCATGGCATACATGTACCGTATCTTCTTTACACATTCCTCCATCAGTGGACATTTAGGTTGCTTCCATGTCTTGGCTATTGTAAATAATGCTACTATGGACACTGGGGTGTGTGTATCTTTTTGAATTACAGTTTTCTCCAGATGGATGCCCAGGAGCTGGATTGTTCGATCATAAGTTTCTGTATTTAGTTTTTTTTAAATTATAATTGCTTGACAATATTGCGTCCGTGTCTGCTGCACAACGAAGTGAACCAGCTTTCTGTGTACACCCCCCCTTCCTCTCAAGCCCCGCCCCCCCCCAGTCATCAGGAGCACGGAGCTGAGCCCCCCACGCACGGTGGCGTCCCACAGCGCTCTATTTCACACGTGCTCGCGCGTGGGCATCAGGCTGCTCTGCCTGCCCAGCATCCCCCACTGTGCCCACAAGTCTGTTCCCTACATCTGTGTCTCCTTTCCTGCCCTGCAAAGAGATCACACCATTGCTCTGTGTGTGTGATCCCACGTGTGTGTGCACACTCAGTAATGTCTGACGCTTTGCAACCCCATGGACTGCCAGCCTCCTCTGTTCATGGAATTTTCCAGGCAAGAAATACTAGAGGGTAGCCACTTCCTACTCTAGGGGATCTTTCTGACCCAGGAATCAAACCCACGTCTCCTGCATCTCCTGGATTGGCAGGTGGGTTATTCACCAGCGTGCCACCTGCAAAGATTCCATATGTATGCATTAATATATATTTTTCTCTTTCTGACTCATTTCACTCTGTATGACAGACTCTAGGTTCATTCTTGTCACTACGAATGATCCAATTTCATTCCCCTTTCATGACTCAGTAATATTCCATTGTCTTTAAGTACCACATCTTCTTGATCCATTCATCTGTCGATAGACATTTCGGTTGCTTCCATGTCCTGGTGATTGTAAATAGTGCTGCAGTGAACGTTGGGATGCATGTACCTTTTGGAAGTATGGTCCTCTCAGGGTATGTATGCCCAGGAGTGGGACTGCTGGATCATATGGTAATGCAGTGTTTAGTTTCCTAAGGAAGCTCCATACTGTTCCCCATAGTGGTGGCAGCAGTTCCCATTGCCACCAGCAGTACCAGAGGGCCCCTGTTCCCTACACCCTCTCCATTGTGGTTTGTAGTTTCTGACAGCGGTGTTCTGACCAGTGTGAGGGGACACTTCACTGTTGTTTGATCTGCGTGTCTCTGATAGTGATGTCGAGCATCTCTGCATGTGCTCTTCAGCTGTCTCGTCGTGGTTTAGTTTTGCATTTCCCTGAAGACTGAGGATGTGGAGTGTCGTTTCAGGTTCTTATTAGTGCTGTATTTCCTCTGCTGTTAAATATCTGTTCAAATCTTTACCCCATGTTAAAAAAGAAATCAGATTATTTGTCTCTTTATCATTGAGCTGGAAGAGTTTGTATATTTTGATACAGTTCATTATGTAGTGTGGCTGTTTTCCTGTGGCCTGTGGTATGCCTTTTCAGTTTCATGGTGGTATCTTTCAGAGACAGACATTCTGAAAACTGTGTCGTACAAAGCTTTAGCATTTGTTTTACTCTAAGTAAGGCTGAACACCTTTTCTTACGTATCAAAGCTATTTACAAGTCTTTTTCTGTAAACTGCCCATGTCTTTGGTCTGTGTTTTTTTTTTAATCAGTTTATTGGTGTTTAACTCCTTGATTTTATTTTTTTTTTAATGTATTTTATTTATTTAACCCAGAACTCCTTGATTTTAGAAGAGCTTTTTATATGTTAGGGTATGGTACAAGGCTGTGTTTTCACCCAGTGTGTGTCATTTCTCTTTTCAACTCTGCTTATAGAGCTTTTTCCATGCAGAATTCCTCCTGTGTGTTTACATAATCCAGTGTATCTGTTTTTGTTGTTTATAGACTTTGATTATAGGCTGCCCACTCCCAGGTTAAAAGAAATTCACCCATGTTTGCATCTAGTATTTGAATAGTTTATTTTCTTACCTTCAAGAAATGTAAAAAAAAAAAAAAATTAATCTCTGCTCCGTTTGGAGTTGATTTGGATGTACAGTGAGGCATAGACTCAATCTTATCTTTTGGGGATGACTCTCCAGTTGTCCTTATATCATTTAAAAGCTCATATTTTTCTGATGATTTGAGATCACACTTCCCAGACCTTTATTGTTAAAACAGTAGATTTCCACATGTCTTTGGACATTCTGTCCTGTTCTGTTGCTTGACCATTTGGTTCCCCTGGCCCCATCTGCCTGTGGTTCTGCTACCACTGCCTCTAAATTACAGATTTGATGATGTTTAAACACAATGTAGGGGAACCTCCTCACTGTTCTTTTCATACTCAAAGCTTCCCTTATTTATTTTTTTCCACATAAACTTTAAAACCAGCTTGTCTAGCTCCAGGAAAGATAGTTGATTTTTTTAAAAAATGGGGATTGTGTTAAATTTATGTTTACTCGGGAAAGTGGAAGTGTTTACTGATGTTGAATTGCCCCGTGCAAAGACACAGGGTGTGTCCCCACTTCTCCCAGGGTAGTTTTCACACAGGAGTTTTTCCATAGACACGTTGTAAATTTTATGTTAGGTTTACTTCCTAGTACTGTCTCTCTCTCACTGCTCTTATACTGGGTTCCTCTCTACCTGGATGTTGTTTGTATACAGGAAGGCTGTAATTGAGTCATTAATTTGGTATCTTCCTATGTTACTGAAAACTCATTATTGTCTGTATTCATCGAAGCACTTTCTTGGGTTTTCTCAGTAAACTTGCGTATCATCTGACAAAAAGATCATTTATCTCTTCCTTAGGCAACAAGGATTTTTAAAGCTTTGTGTTACATATTGCCAAATCTCTGGCGCCAATTTATACTCCTCTTAAGTGTTTATTCACACCCTTGCCAGCACTGAGTGTTAAAATTTTTAAAATCTTTGTCAATTTCTTACCACCTTTATTCATTAAGAGCACATCCATGGGCCCCTTCTGACTGTAGGCAGAGTGGTCTGCAGACTACCATCAAGACAACTCTGCCTATCGTCCGTGGAAACTCTTAAGTGCACTGGTCTTGGAGACTATAGGCAGAGACAGACTGGTCTGCAATCTACAGGCAGAGTGCCCTGCACACAATGGGCAGAGTGGCGCTACAGACAGTAGGCAGTGCTGCTCATCTGCAGAGTACAGGCAGAGTGGTCCGCAGTCTACAGGCAGAGTGGTCTTGGAGACTACAGCCAGAACCACTCTGACCCAAATCTGCCAATCCACAGACTGAAGCCCACGTAAACTACAGGTAGTGGTCCTAAGACTACCCTTGTCCTCAGAATTTGTGCTGCTCGTGCCCTGACCATCTCCCCTTTCCTCCAGGCCCTGCCATCCGTTGTTTAGCCTCTGGCTCTGTGAGTTTGGCTTTTTTTGAGTCTATATGTTTAGTCTTATGATACTGTTTGTTGATCCTGATATTTCTTGGGGTTCACAATTCAGACTCCCTCCAGAGAGCAGCCAACAGCAGAGGATGGGCTGCCCTCTCGTAGAAACCCCATCTTGGGCCTAGAGAAGGACGCCTAATGCCACTTCCCCTGCAGCAGAGTCCCAGCGTAGTAAGTCCCTTGGATGCCTTACTTGTACCCCTGAAACTTCTGGGCAGGGCCTGGACCTCTCCCCACCACCCATGCTCAGGCCAGCTGTCTCCCCTTCTAGTTGCAGACGCCCTTCGCCACTAGACCACACAGTAGGGCGACAGAGTGGGCCGTGCCCCCCTCCCAGTAGCTCCTCCCCATCCCCGGAGCCTGGGCAGGGGTGGAGCGTCCTGACCCGCCAGGCTCTCTGGCCCCGTCACCCACGCAGCCGTCCCCGCACCCTCTTTATTCTCCTAAGCCCGCTCCTCACCTTTCTTGCTGTGTGACCCGGGGCTAGCTGGCGCCCCTCTCTGAGCCAGTTTCTGCCCGTATCTCACGGGCTGTAGGGGCCGTGGAGGAGGGCGCCTCCGGCCTCACGTGGCACGGGGAGGAATCCACAGGCGTGTGTGCCCACGGGGTGAGAGCGGGGAGTGAGCGCGCGCACCGCCCTCTGAGCATGGGGGCAGCCTCTGTGGGAACGCGCCCGCGCCCCTGGCACCCCCAGGCGCACCCCCCAGGGCAGGCCCAGGACTGCTCCGAGCCGGGAGCCCAGCCTGTGCGCAGAGGCCTCGCGCCCTCACAGCGGGCCGTCCTGGTCTCACCCCCACGTGCTCGGGCAGCAGGGGCTGTGCACCAGGGACGGGGTGCGTGCGAGGCACCCCCCCCAGCGCTGCCCCCGGGTGGCTGGTCCTCAGGGGGAATGCCCTTCTCCCAGTGTGTTCCCGCGGTCCCCACGCTGACGGCCAGGACGCTGTGGACGCTGGTGTTTACCTTGGCCGCTCCTCCCTGCCTCCCGGGCCAGCCTCCTGTAAACACCATGTTCCTCCTCAGAGCGCTCTCTGAACACGGAGGCCGCCTTTTGCAACCAATTCTAGGAATTTGGAAAGTCTGTGGGCCTAAGGTCAGGGACCAGCCCCCCCCACCCCCCCGCCACCGGTGTGGGAAGCCCTCAGGGCCCCCATACTGGCCCCGGCCTTCTTTCTCTGGGGTTCACGCCGAGGGGGCCGAGGGAGCGGGGCCAGCGGCGAGGGCCGCCTGGGGAAGGCCGGCAGGATCAGCGCCGCATAACGGCCACACCCCCGCGGCCCCCGGCCCCCGGCTCGGCCCCCAAGTGCTCCCCGCTGGGGCCTGGGGCTCCTTCGCGGGAAGCGGGGCGGCGCTTCTGTGGAGACGGGGGCCGGGGGCGCAACCGGGCTTCTCCCCTGGCCGCCGCACCCACGCGGCTCAGACGGCCCCGCGGGCGGGCGGACACTGAGCGTCTCCCCTTCTCCACGCAGATCTGGGACATGAGTGACGACGAGACCGTCTGACACGCGCCTCGCGCTCCAAGGCCGCTGCCCCAGGACTGCGACTCGGCCCAGCGTCCCCACAGCTGGAGGCTGGGCTCCCTCCGCGCCGGGAGCTGCTGGCGTCCTCCGTTTCTGACAGCTCCTCATCCCGCCGGTTCTGAGCTCAATAATAACCTTGGCTTCGGCACTGCCGGTGACCTGGACTTGGTCCCCTCCACGAGCGCTTCTTTCTTCTGTGGTCACACGTGTGTGTGGGGGGAGTGCCGGCGGGAGGAGGTGGCCCAGACCCGTGGGGAGCAAGAAGCCGGCTCCTTCGAGTGGCCTTTGTAGGGGCTGCGGCCCCAGCCTGGCCGGCTGGAGGGGAGACGGGACCACAGGGGCCACGCCGGCCCAGGTAAGCGGACCTCCCCGGGGCCGCAATGTGCCGGCCAGGTGGCTCCCCACCTCTGCCTCCTGCTCCGCGTTGGGAAGATGGCCTGCGCCGCTGCACTGGGGGAAGGAGACGGGGCTCGGGATCGACACTCAGAGCTGCCCGAGCGCGGCCAGGGGGAGGCGCCCTGCCGGGGTCACTCGGGCTGATCTCATTCTTCATCCTGGGGGTGCAGGTCTGTGGCCTCCGCTGAGCAGGGCATGGAAATCAGGAGGGGGGCACTTACCCCACGTGTGTGTGCGCGCGCGCGCGCGGTCGTCTTTCTTCAACAAGGAAGCAAAGTCAATGATGAGTCTTGGGTTGGATTGCTGTAAGTTTTTTAATTAATTTTCCAGCCTATGTGGGGCTTAAACCAGAGGCCACTGGACACCAGGCACTGCCCCCACCCAGCCTGGACCCAAGGATCACACCGACACTTCGTGGTTTAAGAGCACTTTATTATTGTTCTTAAGGCTACTTTTAAGTACAAAAAAAAGATGGCCTGCCAAACCTTTTTTTTTTCTTCTTCTTCCAGGAAAAACAGGCCACAGAGAATGGTATATTACAGATTTACAAACACGGAGAGAATGGTCTGAACGCACTGCGGATGGCCTGGCTCTGTGAAGAACCCCTCTGTGCCCCCGAGACCGGGGCGTGTCCCCCCTTCCCCGTGCCGCTTGGTTTTCTGCCCGGGGCCCCTCCGCCCAGGTCGGTCAGAGCGCAGGCACCTGGCCCTCGGCGCTCCCTTCCCCCTCCCCAGCGATGGCCTCGCTGGCAGGCGCCTGAGGAGCCAGTTCTGCACAGAGCCGCCGGCAGTGGGTCGTTTTCCTGGGCGACGCTCAGTAGCCTGTAGCAATAACAAACTAGTGGCTATTAAGGCAGATGCAGTGTTCTCATAGAATAACTGTGTTCCTGCACTTTTACAGACAAATCTACGACGAAAAAAAAAAAAAGATCAACTTTTTTTTCCAAACCAAAAAAAAAAAAAAGAATGATTACAATAGGAAAAGGGAAAAATTAAATAGCTACATATCATTAACAAATTAATTGTTCTTCAAAAAATACCTACAAATTTCTCTGTACATTCTTTACGCACAGCGTAATGATGGTCTTAAAGTTACCTATATAAAAAAAGTGTTCTCAATGATTTTTTTTTCCTACAGAAAATATAGGGGCCTGGATGCAAAAGCCTGGAAGCCCAGTGAAGTGGGAGGGAAATGCGTGCGGGGGGTGGGGGAGACGCCTTCCTCCTGCCTCTTCAAAGACCTGCAGCCCCAGGAGCCCATCGCCGCCTGGTCACCCAGTGCCAACTCTAAAAGTCACCAGCAAACCTGTATCTTTCTCCTACTGACAACCAGGCCAGGGGACGCGCCAGAGCCCTGGTGGGCAGGGCCCAAGAAAAGGTGCCCAGAAACAAAAGCAGCTGTCGAACATCCACAGCTGGGTCTGTCATGCTTGCTTCTTCACCTAATTCCTAGTTAGTAGCTATGACTATAGCAAACGATAATAAATGCAGTAATAACTGTATAAGGTCAGAGGAATGTATACTGCCTTGGCCCCAGCGTACGAGAGGAAGCACATAAAAACACCGCGTCAGATTGTCGGGAATCTGCTGTCCCGCCAAGGGAGCAGAGCAGTTTCTGCATGAGAGGGAAGTGGGAGACACCAGTCCCAACTCCCCTGGGAGCGAGGGAGCAGGCAGGGAGGCAGAAAATAGCCGATGCTGTCAGCCTGCGGCCACCGCTCCAGCATCCTGCTCGGCGGCTGCCCAGCCACTCGCCCGCCTGGTCCAGGGCCTGCCAGGGAGTAACATGGATATCAAATACAAATCTCAGAGCACAACTGTACCAGCAGTAAGTATATCTAGGACTGTAACTGACAAAAATAAAACGCATTCTGAGAAGAAGCTAGTTAAGTATTAAGGATTTTTTGTTTACTGTCTATACAGTTAATAGAAACCAGCTATTTTTATCCTTTAATTAAAACATGCATCACTGTTTAAAGCACTACACGCTCCTCCAACTTCAGCTCTAGCCTAACAAACTGCAGTGTTCAGAAAAGGTAAAATGCCCGTGATTGGTAAGAGTCTGCAGTCCAGTTGCAAGCACCTGAAATCTAGACAGAGAAAGACCTATAACCTGCATGAGACTTCCCCTTTCCAAAGCGGCTTTGTCTAAGTTAAAAACAAAAAAACACACACAAATGGTCACACATGTCATCCTGAAACCCTCTGTTTCTCAGCAGTTTGCCCTCGGAGCACCAGCGTCTCGCACAAAGCTGTCAGGCAGGCCACTCGAGTCCTCCTCCCATAGTGCAAATCAGACACGACAGTCCTGTTCTCTTCAAGTAGACGCACGCACACAAGCACGCACACACACGCACACACGCAGGCTGGAAGCGGAGCCGCACACGCCCGGGTCTCGAGAAGCGAACGAAAAAGCACAGCGCGTCTGGGTCGCCGGTGGCCTGGCCTGTGACTGAGAAAGCGCGAGCCGTGGCGACCAGGCCTCGTGGGGCGCTGACCTGGTCCAGGCGTCTTTGGTAACCGAGGCGGGCGTGCGGGCGCCCGCGGACAGAGGTGTCCCGCGCGGCGCCGCCAGCATGTCTGAGGGCCCCGAGGACGAAGACCAAGCAAGTACGAAACACAACAGAAAGCCCCACCACGTGGTTTTTGCGAATAAACCATCCCTCCCTCTTCCCACCATTTTTTTTTCTTTTTCCAATTTTTCCATTTTTTTTTTTAAGCACTGACTGTTCAAAGCTCAGGCAAACCATGCAGATGGACGTGGTGTCGGAGGGCGGCGCTCCCTTCAGGAGACCACGGACGGGGAGTGGCTGTGGCTGACCATGTGGGCCGAGGGGCTAGCTGGCTGGCCCCGGCGCGAGGCCGACTCGGGGCTGCTGGACGCGCCGTCCTTGGCCGCCTTGATCTGGAGCCACGTGTCGCCCAGGGCCTTGGCGAAGTGGTCGTCCACGGAACCCGTGATGGACACGGAGTTGGGGGCCGGCTCCGGCTCCTTGTAGTTCTTGCCCAGGCTCCGGCGGAAGTGCTCCTCCACCACGGGGTCGCAGGTGGCTGGGGGCAGGGGGACAGTGGTCAGAGCGGGGACCACACAGAGGGCCACCCCGGCGCGGGTCCCGTCTCTGAGCCTGCTGCCCGGGGCTGTGTGCGCGCACGTGCACGCACACAGGGCGGCCCGAGGCCGGACTCGAGGGGGGCCTGGAGGGCGGGGCCCACGGGCTGCTCCCCGCCTGCCCGCCCGCTGGCCCAGCCCTGGGGCCTCTGTGCTGGGACAAGGCCGCCGTTCTGGGAACAGGAGGGGAAGGGGCGCTGAGGACCGCGCCCTGTTGGTGGGGGGTGGGGGCACACGCGGGCACTCACAGCTCGGGGTCCGCCGGTAGCTGGCCGGGCCGGCCGCGCAGCCACTGTGCGCCACGGGGCAGTGCGAGAGGTTGCAGTTGCGGGCGCTGGCGGAGGCGCACGTGATCACCGAGGGCCGGTTCTGCGAAGGAAGCTGGCGTGAGAGCCGCGCGAGCACACGGCAGGCAGTGCGGCCCCCACCCGGCCACCCTGCCCTCGCGTTCCTCCCCAGCTCCGAGGCAGGAGGGCCACCCCCGTGCCCTTCAGCCTGGCTGGGCACCCACTGAACCGGGAGACCCCCATCAGTGCGCGTGGGACGTTATCCCCGGCTCCCCTTTCTCTCCGAGCACCCCCCTAGACCTCTCCCGGCCCAAAGGCAGATCTGGTCAAGCCCCTCCTCCGCCTCGTGGTTCCCACTCGGAAGCTCAAGGCCCCAAATCCACAGTGAACAAGCCCCGAGGGACTGTGCCGGCCCCCTCCGAGCAGCGGCCCTGTGAGTCGCTGAGCCCGGGGGACAGAGGCTCGGCTGCTGGGCTGAAATGAGACCATCACCGGTGCGGGGACCAGCGGGAGGACGACAGGGGGAGGGCCCCCTGCGACGGGACCACAGGCCCCATCACCACAGTCCCCCGAGCGTGTCCCCCGGACCCCCGAGCTTCTCTGAGCCATTCGAGGACCTTCCAAGATACTCCCGCTTCTGCTCATCTGTTTCTGTTCTGACCATGCAAGTGATGATGGAGATGGAGACAGAGGAACCTCTCCCAGTGCGTGAGTCACACACACACTAACCAGCGTTAGCCCTTCCGCCTTCCCCAAGACCACCACGCTGTGGGCCTGGCAACCTCCACCCACCCTTCAAAACCCTGTTCAGCTACCTCCTCTGTGAAGCCTGAAGGCACCCCCGAGCAGGCACCCTGCCGGACATCCCCCGACCTGGATGAAAACACCCGTGAACCAACCACGCCCTCAGGCTGCAGTCAGGAAGGGTCCTGATAGCCCCAGAGGGCATGGAGCAGGACCAGACAGCTCCCAGGAGCTGCGCGTGACGGCAGCGGGTCAGCAAGGGGATCGGGGCTTGTCCACCCCCGGCCATTCCCGTAGAGCCAGGTAGGTAGCCCCTGCGGAGGCCTAGACCTTCCCGGGATGGGCAGTGGGCAGGTCTGTGATGCAGATCTGGCTCCGTGTGAGAGAGCAGGCGTGTGCTCAGGTCTAAAGAGGAACTGCAGACTCCCGAGCTGGGGAAGGTGAGGCTGAGCAGCAGCAGCCTGAGAACAAAGACCTCGGGCTTTACTGACAGTTCCACATGTCGGCAATGGAGCAGGGCCACGGGGAGCCGGTGTGACGCCGTGCCGTGGGGACAGAAATGGTGGAGAGGAGGGAACGTGGCTCTGAGACTCGGCGGGCCTCGGAGAACCAGCTGCCCGCTCGTTAGGCAGGACCTTCATTCACCCTCTCAGCTCATTTCGTGAAACGGGACGAATCGGACCTGAGGGACTTGGAGCTCAGCCTGAGACAGGTCTGGGGGCCTGGCCGTGGTCAGGTCCAGGCATCCTGCCACTTCTGGAGGGTCTGTTCAAACCCCTGAGCCGTGCTCTCCCCACGTGCCCTCGCTGAGTAACCTGCCCTCCACCCTCCAGACGGGGCTTCGTCCCCACGTTCCTAAGTGACCTCGCCCCTGGCCAGGCTGAGGCGGGAGGAGACTCGGGGGGAACTTGGGAGCTGGGGGACAGCCACGCCGAGCTGACCGTGCGAACCACATGCAGCGAGAGAAAAGGATATAGAGACAGGCCCGGAGCCAGGGGAGGAAGGGGGCCTGCCTCCCGTCCGGCTCTCAGGCCCAGCCCGGCCCTTCCTTCCGAAGCCTAGCTGCACCCACGGCTCCGGGAGACGCCCGGGGCCTCTCGGTATAACTTCCTTCCTTCCTGCAGCGCCGGTGAGTGTTCCCTACCTGGGAGCTCCCCCGGCTCCCCCAGAGGATACATGAACAGCCTGGCTCACTTGATTACCTGGTTCCTCTAGACTCGAACTGTGTGCACGCCCGCATCTTGCTGGACCAGCTTCTAACATACTCCCTACACAAAACAGCTGTCTCTTCCCAGCTTTGTTAAAGAGGAAACAAACAGGGTCGTGATCTGAGGCTTTAAGGCAGAAAGTGCGACTGCTCGTCGGCCTTCCCAGAAGCCACAGCGAAACTTCACCCAACACCCGGGGGTGCCCACGAGCAGGGGGCACAGACGGGTCAGAAGCGGGCCTGGGCAGGGGCTGCGCTGGCAGCCTGGAGGCTGAGCTCAGCTCCGGCACCTCCTCGTGCTCATGCCCGCATCCAGGCGTCTCGAGCAAACTCTGACTGAGGATCTGCTGGCCCTGGGCCCCAGAGGTTCAGAGCAAGGAACCAGGGTCCACGCCGTGCTTCTGAGCCTCACGGTCAGTGCCTCCCTTAATTAGTTGTTCAAGTCTCCATTCCTACCAAACAACCTCTGTTTATTGACAATACCCTTATTTTCCTTAAAAAAAAAAAAAAAAAAAAATTCCCAGTCTGCGAATCATAGGTTTCTGACCACTGACTTCCTAGGATTGCAGGCCCAAGCAGAGCAGCCTGGCGCTGAACTCCAGCCGTGTGGCCTCGTGAGGGGTTCAGTCGGGAGTCCCCCTGGGAGCATCAGAGTGATCCCGAAAGGGCTGCCAAGGAAGATGGCGAGAAACACAGCTAGTCCTGGCCACTCCCTCCTCGAGCGCAGAAACAGCCCCCCAGACACAGCCGCTTCTCTGAGGCCGCTCAGCCCAAGGAGCAGGGCCCACACACGGAGTCACCCACGTGGCTGGTGGTCCCGGCACAGGCCCGCTGATGGGGTCCCGGCCCCTGGACAGAGGCATACCTGCTGCCGCTCCACCGGGGCCAGGGTGGGCGAGAGGCCGGCCGGCCTGCCGGCGTCCAGGCTGTTCTTGGTCAGTGCGAGGGGCTGCTCCATGCTCAGGCTGGGCAGGGACGCGTACAGGGGGCCGCCGTGCAGGCTCATGGTGGGGGCCACGGCCCGCTCGATGGGGCTGCGGCTCCGCTCCCGGGGGTCTTTCCGGCAGTCCCCGTTGGCCGTCTTGTTCCTGAAAAGAGAGCAGCGCATGCTCAGATGGGAACACCGTCATCACCCCGCCTTGGGACGCCTCCACCAAACAGCCCGCGGGGAACCGGGGGCCAGCATGCTGGCTTAGGTGGGCGCTGGGGAGCGGTGCCCTCGCAGGGTCTGGGGTCCGCTCCGTGGCACCAGCAGGAAGGAACGCATCCCCCTCCCCCAGTAGCCTCCCTGCAGCTTCTCCGACACACCCCACCCACGCAGGGCCAGAGGCCACACCCCACGCTCCAGGCCGGCGTGCTCTACCCGGGACCTGCCTGCAGAAGGACAAAGGCGGCTAGGATGCCGCAACAACCCAGCATCTCCCACACACCGGGTCCCATCCTGAGGCAGGGACGCCGTGAACCTCCCAGGTGCGGAGATCGAGACCCCACGCCGTCTCCTCACCAACCGAGGCGTCTGGCTCATGGTGCGGTGCTCAGGCCGGTGCGGAGCCCCGACTCCTGCGGCAGAGCCTTGCCTGGGGAATTCCGCCCGCAGGCAGGGGCGGCCATGCTGGGGGGCCCACGGAGGGGCAGTCCGGCGGGGCCTGTCTGAGGTGGGGTCACCCGTGGCGTCCCCGGGAGGCTGAGGCCGCGGCAGTGGGCTGGCTGGGACAAGTGCCCAGGAGGGCCTCCCGAGGGCTGGCCCACTGTGGCCCTGACCCCTGTCCGTCCGTCCCGCGTCCCGGCATCCATCCGCCCTTCCCCGGCTCAGTCAACGCTGCCCGCGCAGGAACCGTCCACACGCCTGGGCCACCGACACCCTGCAACTGCTGAGCCTGGCTCTGGCCCTGGACCCGCCAGGGTGCCCCTTGCGAGAGAGACGGCCTCCCCTCACCCCGCCAGCGAGCCCGCCTTCCTGTGTCCCCGGAGCCCCCCGGGGCGTCTGAGACCCACTCGGCCTGGCCGCCTCGTGCGCGGCGCCCCGCCCGCACCCGCTGAGGACCTGTGCAGGCGAGGGCGAGGCCCCGTGGCCCGAGGAGCCGTCCCTCAGTGCAGCCTGTGCCCATCGGGACGGCACTGGGCCGGGGCGGCGGAGGGGGTGACGCGGGACACCAGCCTGGCTCTGCCTCCACGGCCCCGGTGTCCTCAGCCGCCGTGTGGCCAAGGGGCCACCTGGGAGGGTCTCGAACGGGGACGAAGGCTACACACGTGCGGAATCCTGCGGGCACACGGCAGGTGGCGGGCGAACAGACGGCTGGGAGCACAGTGCAGCAGCTGCAGCGTGACCGGCCGCACACCGCTCACTTCGGGGGTGTCCCCGCCCGCTCCCCCCCATCCCCTGCTGGGCTTAGGCGCGCTTAGAGGACCAGCTCCCAGCCCATGAAGACAGTCACACAAAGGGAGGGCAGTCCAGATGAGACGCTCCATACCTGCCACACAGGTCCCGGCAGCTTCCAAAGAATGACGAGACCAGAAAAAGAAAAGGGAAAAAGCCCTGAGTTCTGAAACCAGCCTGTCCGTAACGTCGCGTCTTCCTGTGATGATTCAGAGGACGTCACCAGCCTCTACACAGAAGGCTCTGCGGTCATCACCGCTAATGCCAGCATTCCGACAGAACATCACAGAGCAGGGACTTCAGCCCTCGACCAGAGATGCGTGCGCTTCCCCTCAACAGGGCGTCTTTTCCCCCAAGGTCCAGGCTATCAGGCTTCCCTGTGGCTCAGAGAGGAACGAGTCCGCCTGCCAATGCAGGAGACACGAGTTTGATCCCCGCATCGGGAAGATCCCCTGGAGAAGGAAATGGCAACCCGCTCCAGTGTTCTTGCCTGGAGAGTCCCACGGACAGAGGAGCCTGGCGGGCTACAGTCCATGAGGTTGCAGAGAGTCGGACACGACTGACCGACTTACACTTTCCCTCTAGTGTCTGATGATCTATATAAATCGCCTCCCTGACACAATCTCCCCGAAAAATGAGGTTTCTAGATGGCACATCACAAGCTGTGAGAGGTCGCAGGCTGGACGCGTCCCTGGGACACGCCCGCGCCCAGTTCAGGCCCCGTGCCAGGCCGCCAACGGTAACCAAGGCCCTCTTTCGCGATGGTTACAGGAGGAATACCCAGCCCTGCTCAGGGGCTCACGATCTGGGCACAGGAGCGGAGGTGTGGGCAGAAGGGGCTCACACAGACCCGGACACCGCACAGCACAGCCGGGCCGCCGCTCCAGAGGCGCAGGGACTGAAGCCTCGCTCCGGGGAGGGTGCCGCAGCAGCGGAGGGTCTCTCCCGCGCCACCCCGGAGGGGCAGGGAGGAGTGAACAGGGGAGAGGGGCCCCTGCAGACAGGGCGCAGCGGGCATCGGGGACCAGAAGAGACACTGAAAACACCCAGAAACCGTCTGAAGAAGTCGCTGGTTAATTTTAGTAAATTACACATTACTCACACTTCCAAGCTCCTCTTCCCGGTTCCCGGAGCTTGGACACAGACGTCGTTTTCCTTCCCCCAGTGACTCAGCCCCAGGCTCCGCCGCTTCCCAGGGCGTCATGTGCCCTCGGACCCAAACCACACGCTTCCTGCCCGCGACCCACGGCGCCTCCACCCTCGTTAGGGACACGTCTGCTCGGCGAGGGGCCCAGAGGCCTCCCGGGGGGTGGGTGCCGGGGACTGCCCGAGGACACGAGGCTCGGGGTCCCGGGTCCCCCCCCCAGGGGCCCATCCTCAGCCCAGGGACGGTGCTGCCACAGAGAAGATGGCAAGGGGCTCGCAAGGAGGAAGGGGACACTGTCCTCCGGGACAGAGCATCCGGGCCAGGTCCCACAAGCTGCCTCCCTGCCTTCCGCGTCCCCAGGGGAAACGTACACTCAACCCCATGCAGTGGGACCGTGCAGGACGCCCTCCACACGTACCCTCATGAACATGGGGTTCCCTGCCCTTCACCAAGGGGGCTCAGAGCTGCAGGAAGCCCCTGGGAAGGTCTGTCTTCCGATTCTCAGCTGGATTCCTGACGGCAGTTAGCTAAACCAACAGGCTCTGACTTCTTAGGCTGGGAAGGGAAGCCGGATGAGGCACTTTAGTACTTTCGAGGAAATGTTCTGGGGCCCCGGGGTCCCTAGGCCGCAGCTCCTGGACCCAGTTCAGCATCCCCCATGTCCCCCACCCCATCCTGGGCTCCTGTAATGCAAGAACACCCCTGAGCTGGCGGGGTGGCCACGGGGTGCAGAAATCTCCCCTTGCTGGCTGACGTGCTGGGTTTAGGACAGGGATCAGGCCGGCAGCAGGTGCCAGTGTCTCAGAGAAGAGGCCTGAGGTGGAGCCGATGAACGCCCAGCCCGAGAGGCTGAGAGAGAGCGGCAGTGTGGCAACCGGGCACTCAGCGGGCCCCGGGCAGCCCCCGCCTCACCCCATCTCCATCCTCAGCTCCGGAAGGCCCCCCAACCCCCACACCACGGGGCTGGAGGACACAGCGGGGACCTGTGCATGCAGGAGGGGTCACGGCACTGGGGACACGGCAGCCTCCCCAGCTGGACCGGAGATCCTCACCCTCCATGCCCTGCCCGCTCCCCGGGGCTGAGCAGAGCGCAGAGGTTTTAAACGACCATTCACTGACTAGATGAACTGGTAAAGGACACGTATCGTGTGATGCATCTTGTGAGAACTGGACCATAAAGAAAGCTGAGCGCCGAAGAACTGATGCTTTTGAACTGTGGTGTTGAAGACTCTTGAGAGTCCCTTGGACTGCAAGGAGATCCAACCAGTCCATCCTAAAGGAAATCAGTCCTGACTATTCATTGGAAGGACTGATGATGAAACTGAAACTCCAATACTTTGGCCACCTGATGCGAAGAGCTGACTCATCTGAAAGGACCCTGATGCTGGGAAAGATTGAAGGCAGGAGGAGAAGGGGACGACAGAGGATGAGAGGGTTGGATGGCATCACCGACTCAATGGACACGAGTTTGAATAAACTCCGGGAGTTGGTGATGGACAGGGAGGCCTGGCGTGCTGCAGTCCATGGGGTCACAGAGATTCGGACACGACTGAGCGACTGAACTGGATCATGTGTGATCCAGTTAACAGGGTCTGTGATGAATGAAAGGGAATTAAGGAAATTTCAGAGGAAATGCCCAGCAGGAAAAGACTTTTTTTCTGAAAAAGCAGAGTTTAAGGAGCATTTACACACCAGGCAGAAAAAGCTGCGAAGCGGTCTCCCCCGTTACCTCCCCCATCTTTAGTCTTCCTCCCTCAGCCCACCGTCTGCTTCGAAACGTCCCCCATCCACCCACCCAGACCTCACACATCACCCTCCTTCCTCGTGAGTGGGGCGTGACCAGGACATCCTAGTGGGGTGTCGTCACCCCTCACCAGTTTCAGACGGGAAGCAGGGAGGTGTGGGGGGGGAGGAGACGCCCCAGCAGGGCACAGGGCTCGGAGGAGAGGCGTTGGCGCCGCGGGGCTGGGGGGTGAGGCAGCGACGCCATCCCGGGTGCTCGGCGGTGAGCCGGGTGTCAGGGGCCGGACACAGCTGAGAAGTAACTGGCGTTCAGAGCCCCGCTCCCACAGGACACAGAGGGACCCGCCGCTGCCTCTGACCGAGGGGGAAGACGGTGTCGTCCGTGACACCTGCCACCAGGGACACCCAACGGGTCGCGGGGCCAGGCCGCCAGGTGCCCACACGCTGCAGCCCTGAGAACAGGGCCGGCGCTCAGAGACCTGCTTCACTTGGGGAGTTGGGGCTCCCCAACCGGCTGCCCGGAGGCTGAGACCTGCGACGCAGGACCACTGCCTGGAGCGCCTCTCCTAACAGGCTGTGCTCAGCCGTGTCCGACTCTCTGAGACCCCACGGCCTGCGGCCCGCCTGGCTCCTCCGTCATGGGATTTCCCAGGCAAGCATACTGGAGTGGGTTGCCATTTCCCTCTCCAGGGGATGTTCCCGACCCAGGGATTGAACCTGCGTCTCCTGCGATGGCAGGCAGGTTTTTTTTTTTACCCCCTGGAAAGCCCTCCTGAGAGCTTGACTCAATGTAAATAAGGGACCAGCTTTCCTCGACTGGA